CTAAGCCGAACCTGGCTGGAGAACCTAGCGAGAGAACATGGCTGCAGAACCTGGCTGGAGAACCTAGCAAGAGAACATGGACACAGAACTTGGCTGGAGATGGTGGCTAGAGATCCTGGCAAGGCTGCTGATCAACTGAACGCTGTCTCCGTGTCATTCCTTCTTCGCCGACTCCGTCCACACCTTTGGGGAACCCCTGGACCTGCTGGGGTTGGACCCCAGCATCGGGGGGCTTCTCTTCCAGCACTGGAACCCTGGGCTGAGGAATCTGGTGTGGGGCTTGCTCATCATTGGAGGCCTCTGAAGCCTCGATAGCCCTCCTGATTAAAAACATGCTACACATGGGTGTCGGACCAAGCCGGTGCACGCCTTTGCCCCTCCTACCAGTTTCAATGTGCTTTCTTCTTTACTTCTCTAGTTGTACGACTTCCATTCAGTCAGATTTCAGGCAGTTCTGAATGATGGCTGTTCTGTATTTTAGTTGTAATTTTGATGTGGTTGTGGGAGGCAGTGAGTACCGGAATTTACCTATGCCGTCATCTTGGTTCTAGAACTAGGTAAAATTTTAACAACTTGCTAAAGTCTTAGTGGGAGCTAGTGTGATAAATAAGCTCTGGGAACTGCAGAAACACTATAAATTCATACCCATTCACAGGCTTTCTACACAGACCTTACTGGGTGCTCAAGAGAAAAACTAGGGGCAGAGAAAGAGTTTAAAGAGTGCCTTTTTCCTAGTGCAGGCCTGGGAAAGAGAAGCAGCAACCAGCAGGAAAGGCACAAAGTCCCACCCAGATCATTCTCTGTGTCTTCCACACAATTAAAGCCTTAAAGCATGGGGGAAAAGTCGAAAACCTGTCACCATTAGGACACATATGAAGACCCATGAACCTACAGATTATAGAAAGGAAACAAGAAAACAAAAACAATCTACCATGAAGAAGAAACAAAAAAATACCTGAATCCTAAACATCTCCCCACTGTTGTGAGGGAGAGAGACAATGAAAAGTCCAATCCTGAGCCCCAGGAATACAACACTCACCCAATGTTATATAGGCAGTTAGACAGACATGAGCAGAGCAAGGAAGATGGGCCAGATACAGAAACTCACCAGACCAGAAAGCCCTAGATGCCTAACAAGGAGCAAAACTCGGGGGGAAAGAACCTGATCCCCAGGGTAACCTTTCCTCCCCTAGTATATTGCTGGTCATGCAAGTTTAGAATACCGCCCCCCGCCCCCACCTGACCTTTTCCTTCCTAAAGATAACATCTAGGCCTCAGTTGTATTTCAACTCCAGGCCCAAAAAAGCAGCTAAACCAGACAAGTGATGCTATGGACCAGCTACATTGACTAATGACCCCCTGCCGTGGCACCAACCAATCAGTGGATACCAAACCCTGACAGGGCACACCTGGAAAGCTGATGAATATTCTATTGAGACCTTCCCCTGAGACCTCCCCTAAGATTTCCACCTGCAAGAGAGAGATAAGTATGCTCAGAATGAAGGACACAGTGCACACTCCCCTCCCCCCCACCTCCAGGGGAGTACACATGCACTATTCCCTTCACCCTCCTTCCTTCTAAGGGTCCCACAAGTCTTGCAACCACAGGAGCAATAGGCAGCAGCAGTTCGTCCAGGGCTAACCACCAAGCCCTGTCACCAAGCCCTCTTTTCTCTGACTATTCAGTGAGCCAAAGCATCCCAGCATAGGTTTTCCTATTGCTTCTTCTATGCCCTTCTTTGTTTTACTGTCCTAAGTATATTTTTGCAGCAGCCAGTAAATTCTTACTTACTTTGCTACACTTTGTCTCTCTATTGAAATATTTCCTTCAAGAAGACAAGACCCAAGGTTTCATCATCTCCCCAGTAACACTAAGACTTAATCTGTACCAGAATAATAGAGAATACTCCTCCCATCTCTAGCCTGAAACTCCCCAACCCCTCTAAGATGCTAGCAAATATTAAGGAATATTCACTCTGCTGGGTGAGGCAAGACCATGCAGAGACACTTTGTTGATGATGTCATAAAGAAAATACCTAGCCTGGCCCGAACTGGCTTAGTGGTTGAGCATCAACCTATGACCCAGGAGGTCATGGTTCAATTCCTGTCAGGTTGCAGGCTCGATCTCCCGGAGGGTGCATGTAGGAGGCAGCTGATCAATGATTCTCACTCATCATTGATGTTTCTCTCTCTCTTTCCTTCTCTGTCCTCTCTGAAATCAATAAAAATATGTGTGTGTGAGAGAGAGAGAGAGAGAAAGAGAGGGAGGGAGGGAGGGAGGGAGAGAGAGAGAGAGAGAGAGAGAATACCTAAACCTTAGGACAAATAAGCTATTAAGAAAAATCCTCTTCAGGAATATAACAGGATACAAAATTAACACCCAGAAATCTATGGCATTTTTATACACCAATAATGATCTCACAGAAAGAGAAACTAAAAAATCCATTGCAACAAAAAAATTAAGATACCTAGGAATAAACTTAATTAAAGAGTAAAAGACTGGGAAAACTATAAGACATTGAAAAAGAGATAGAGGAAGATATAAACAAGTGGAAGAATATACCATGTTCATGGATTGGTAAAATCAATATCATTAAAATGTCCATAAAAACCCAAAGCAATCTATAGATTCAATGCAATCCCCATTAAAATACCAATGGAATATTTCACAGACCTAGGACAAACTCTCCAAAAATTTATATGGAATAAAAAAGACCCCTAATAGCCCCAGCAATCCTGAGAAAGAAGAATAAAGTTGGAGGGATCACAATACCAGATACCAAGCTATATTACACAGCCACTATTCTCAAAATCAGGAAAGTCCACTGCATGGGAGAACATATTTGCCAATGTTATATCTGATAAGGGTTTAATCTCCAACATTTATAGGGAACTCATACAACTTAACAAAAAGAAGATAAACAATCTAATCAAAAAATGGGCAAAGGACCTAAGTAGACACTTTTCAAAAGAAGACATACAGAAGGCCAAGAGACATATGAAAACATGCTCAAAGTCACTAATTATCCGAGAGATGCAAATCAAAACAATGAGGTACCATCTCACACCTGTCAGAATGATGATCAACAAATCAACAAACGACAAGTGCCTGAGAGGATGTGGTGAAAAAGGAATCCTGGTGCACTGCTGTTGGGAATGTCAACTGGTGCCACTGTGGAAGGCACTATGGAGATTCCTCAAAAAGTTAAAAATGGAACTCCCATTTGACCCCTTAATCCCACTTCTAGAACTATAGCCAAGAAATCAGAAACACCAATCAGAAAGGATACATGCACTCCTATGTTCACAGCAGCACAATTTACAATAGCTAAGATATGGAAACAGCCTAAGTACCCATCAGCAGATGAGTGGATTAAAAAACCGTGGTACTTCTACACAATGGAATACTACACTGCTGTAAAAAACAACAACAAAAAACTCTTGCCATTTGCAACAGCATGGCTGGATCTGGAGAGCATTATGCTAAGTGAAATAAGCCAGTCAGAGAAAGATAAGTATCACATGATATCACTAATTTGTGGAATATAATGAACAACATAAACTGATAACAAAAATAGAGACATAGAAGCATCAAACAGACTGTCAACTTCAGAGGGAAGGCAGGGGAAGGTGGAGGGGGACAGGGTAAGAGATCAACCAAAAGGCTTGTATGGATGCATATAAGCATAACCAATGGACACAGACAATAGGGGGGTGAGGACCTATGCTGGGAATTGGGAGGAGGCTAGGAGAGGTCACTTGCGAGGGGAGGGAAAGGAGACATACGTAATACTTTCAAATACAGAATTTAAAAAAAAAAAACCTCTGGATTACCAACTGCTACTCTAAGCACAAGATAATATTAAAGGAATTTGAAAAGTAGCCACAGAAACAACAAAACCTAAGCTGCTCAACACTTGAGTAGATTGATCCATCATCCCTCAGTAAAGAACCTAACAAAAGTGGAAGTGTGCTCATTTCCAGATCTAAATGTTATTTATCTCAGTCTCTGCTGTTCTGCATAAGATGCCCACCTTTAAAACAAAAATTATGTGATGTGGAAGAAAGAATGAAAAAAGCAACACATGGTCAAGAGACAATGCAATCAACATGACAGACATTGGAACTATCAGACAGGGGATTTTAAAAAATTATAATTAATATGTTGAAGGCTCATTGGAAAAGATTGGACAACATGTATGAACAGAAAAGAAATTTCATGAGAGGTGAAAATTTTAAGAAAGAAGCAAATGAAAATACTAGAAATGAAGATGCATCCTTTTAATTATATTAATTAGTAGACTCAATACAACTGAGAAATTGTTGAAGCTTCAATTGAATTTACCCAAAATTAATCAGGCTATGTGCCAATAATCTTTAAATAATAACATAGGCATATTCAACTACTTTTTCCCTCAATATGCTGGGGAAATTTTTATAAAAAGTATATAATAATATGAATAAGCTTAATACTATGCCTGGCAAAAAGTAGGCACTCATAATGTTTACTGAAGGAATTACTGCTATTTGTCAATGAATAAATTTAGTCATTAATGAGAAAAGAGAGATAAAATGGGAAATCACTTACTATAATCTATGCTAAATTGAGCAACTCCAGAACCAGGATAGTAGGAACCTTTCTCCACAGTGATAAAACAATGCTTATTTTGTCTTTCTTGAATAATTTCATCTACTCTTGCAGTTCCTTGATTCATCAAATTCCAGCCTCGCATACATCCATCTAGACGAGGATTAATCTAACAAAATAGAATATACGTCAAGGAGTGCATTTTTAACTTGTCAGACTGATAGTGGCTTAACTGATTATACAAACGAGTTTTCACTTAGAGGGAAAATCTTTTCTTTTTGCATTTATCACACAGGTCTGTCTTGTCAATGTTTGAGTCTGATGGCAAGACAAATCTGTGTAGTAAATGCAATTAGAGAAAAATAGAAAGCAGCATAGAGCCCAGGGCCACAGCTAGACACATATATGGAACTTGAGAGCAGGAAAGTTACCCCTGCATGCCATAGAAGAGGCATGTAGGGCTTGAGGTATTAAAAATTATTAGGATCTTAATGGAGGCCTGTGATGACATAAACTCACTTTACCTGGAAAAGACTATCCATCTGAAGAACACTTTGAAAAGAAAATTTTAGATAAAATTCAAGATATTAAAAATATTTTTAAATGACATCAAAGAAAAGACTATCACTTTGAAAAGAAAATTTTAGGTAAAATTCAAGATATTAAAAATATTTTTTAAATCAAAGAAAAGACTATCAGATGCATAGTCTTTTCCAGGTAGTGAGTTTATGCCATCACAGGCCTCCATTAAGATCCTAATAATTTTTAATACCTCAAGCCCTACATGCCTCTTCTATGGCATGCAGGGGTAACTTTCCTGCTCTCAAGTTCCATATAGGTGTCTAGCTGTGGCCCTGGGCTCTATGCTGCTTTCTATTTTTCTCTAATTGCATTTACTACACAGATTTGTCTTGCCATCAGACTCAAGCATTGGCAGGACAGACCTGTGTGGTAAATGCAATTAGAGGACCTCATGTGTTTCCATTCTGTAGCCTCACCGTGGCATTCAGTCAGACTGAAGATATGTGGTGGCCATGTCATAAATAGTTGATTCTTTTTGAATCATTTATTTTATTGTTAAAGTGTCTGGATTTATCAATTTCAAAGAACAGGTATATTCACTCTGACATGGGTTAACTAATTCAGGTTTTATATCATATTACAGAAATCTTTTAACTTAAGGTAACTGTGAATTGCCATGAGTTGAAGATAGATATAAAATAGTAAATATTTAAGTTAAATCAGCAGGTGCAATTGGCAGATCCATGAATACAGATGAAATATTTAAAACTCTCTAAGGACAGTGATTAGTCTCCTTCATGAAACCTATTCAACAGTTATTAAACATCATATTCAGAAAATCATCTACTGTATGTAACTTCAATTTATGACAAGCTGCAGTCATACTGCTAGTAAAGATTTCTTAAATAAGAAAAGTTCCACCTTATATGCCATTCTTATCTCCCAAATTTAAGTTCTAAAGTAGACCTAAGAAAGCTCTTTAACTGACTTTATAAAATAATGTATTTGGGGATTCAAATATATGTAGTTTTATGTTTAATGGCTATGTATAATTATAATGTTAGCCGTGAATTAAAGCTCAAGAATTTAAAATTTTCTATTTCACTGCAAGCAAGAATAGAAAAAGGTGGTTCTCTTCCCAAAGTGGAAGACAAGCTTATCAATTATGTGAAGCATTGCTTCCAATGACTGACCAAGAGGCCTTTCAAGATCTCTGACAGTAGAGGAAGTTTCTTTAAGAAAATAGTTCAGTTTGTTAAAAATGTTCACCTTACTTCATTTTTGTAACAGTTGATATGTGGCTGTCCTTTTTATAATGCATCATGAGAACTTTCCCTATCATGTCTAATAAATGTTTTCCAAGTTCTGGTGCCAAAATAAAAAAATAAATAAAATAAAATTGCTGGAGGTTAAATGGGCTCAAAAATACTATACTCATTTTTCTGTTTTCTTAATATAACTTCAAGGGCCACTAATGTTATTTTTCCATGTTCAATTCAAGTTGTCACAGTTGGAGTGTTCAATAAAATAACTTCTTTTGACTTTGGCAATATCTTTACAAATCTATTACAAACAAAAGGAATTCATCCCTGATGAATGAATGTAAAAAGCTTGGATCCTTACCGGCTTAATGAGTGTATTCTTCAGTGTCCGAGGTAAGCCTGCAAAGTATACTTTGGTTTCTACAAATCCACTTGTAGACTTAAAAAGGCTCTCCGGTTTATTTATATTCATTATGGCTTCTCTAGCTATTTTCACACTAATACTCTGTTCTAATTCTTCCACAGAGACCTACAATTAAAAAGACAGAGATTATCAAACAACCAAACATCCTTGAATGTCATATTAAATACTAATTTTGAATAATCCTGTTAATATTCCAGTAAATAGTTTTCTAATCATGTTAATGTAATTATTAATTTGCCTCAATACATTTGTCAACTGATTATAGAGATGATAAAAATTGTTTTAAATGAATAGTACATGATTAAAAATGAAATGACTGTATTTTCAAGTTTAAAAAAATCAATGTTATTCTGTTAAGTTTAAACATCCAATTAAAATATGTATCCTTCAAGCCAGTATGTCATAAAATGGATAGTTTTTAAAAAGTGAGTCACTCTACAAAATCTTAGAAAATGTTTGTGTTCTTACTTGACAATTGTATTATAGTACACATAAAGAATCAATAATGTAAATAAATTATTCATATAAATTAAGAGAAATCAGTACATCCATCATTCTGGTTATTACACAACAAATAATATTTTGTTTCAAAATTCCAAAGTAATTGAGATCATTAGGAACCACAAAACATGAAATTTTAATTTTTTTTCCAATTTTGAAAGTAGTGTGGGTTCTAAAATAAAGGTTGGTAGTAATGGTAAACAACAATTAAGAAATCCTATAAAGGCAATCCAAAGAACCATTGTTGCAATCTCATGTAAAACTGTATTATTCAACATGCAAATTTTTCATTTACTAATTATTAATGGAGGCCAAACAAAAGGCATATTAAAACACCACTATAGAAAGAAATCCTATGCTCTAAAGCAAAATAAATTTGGTAGCATGTACAGATTTAGGCAGTGTATACTCTCTCCTTAATATAGCTAATCAAAAAATAGATCTAGAGACAGAGAAGCATCGATCGATGCTCAAATCTCAGAGGGAAGGCAGGAGAGGGTGAAGCTAAGGGGGAGAGATCAACCAAAGGACTTGTATGCATGCATATAAGCCTAACCAATGGATACAGAACGGGGAGGGTCATATAAGCATAACCAGTGGAAACAGACACTAGGGGTGTGAGGGGTACCAGCAGGGTGTGGGGGGCAATGGGAGGATAAGGACACATTTATAATACCTTAATCAATAAAGGAAAAAAAATATATATAGCTAATCATGTCACTTTGCCCTAATGACTATTCCCTCTTTGAAAGAAATTTCTTAAAAAAAAAAAGAAAGAAAGAGGCAAAAATAGATCTAGAGACAGAGAAGCATCGATCGATGCTCAAATCTCAGAGGGAAGGCAGGAGAGGGTGAAAAAGAAAGAAAGAGGGGGGGAGGGAGAAGATGTTCCTAATAACCTGGGTTCTTCTGCCTTCTTATGATTTCTTCTCAGTCTCCTTGCTAGATCCTCCTCTTCTTCTCAATCTCTATAAGCCCCAGAGCTCAGCTTCCTGACCTTTTTCCTTTAGCCGCGCAAGTATTACTAAATGGGAACTCTATGCTCCACTCTAGGGCATTTGGAAAATGTGGGGTGGAGGGGGTACTTTTAGTTGTCACAAAGAGTAGGAAGTATGCTGACATTGTAATATGAAGGATAATTGTGCAAAATAAATAATAAAAAATCCAATATCCTGCAAACCTTCTAAATAACCATACTGGATATTCTTGTAGGGCAGCAGTTCTCAACCTGTGGGTCGCCAACCTGTGGGTCGCGACCCCTTTGGGGGTCGAACGACCATTTCACAGGGATCGCTTAAGACCATTGGAAAACACATATATAATTACATGTTATTCATTACTCTATGTATAAGAGCAATTAATTTATTAATAAACCACCAAAATAATTTAAGGATTAAATTACTATTACTGATGGCAACCCCATTTATGCAGTTATGGTATTTGAGCTGCCAGTACAATACTCAGCATAAGTCTTCATTTATAGCTTCCACATTATTCATTATTCTATGTATAAGAGCAAGATTTGACAAGTATTATACTTGTATTGAACATTTACAAATTGAAATATATATTCTTATAAATTGCTTTCCTTCATGTATATAATAATTGAAGCATTCTATTGGTTTCTATTAGGGATATGTGAAGGTGGTTTTCATTATTGATGCATTTCATTATAGGACAGTAAAAGAACATTATAAATATTTGGGCAATGGATGAGAGAGTTTAGAACCGCCAGTTGATATACTCAATTTCATGGCCTTTAACCCTCTCTTTATGCTAAATATTTGAAAGTTTATATGTACCTTGAAGGCTTGACCTTAAAAATATACCCAGAATCAGATCACTTCTCACCACTCACATGATCAATACTCCAGCCGAAACCACTATCTTCTCTCTTCTAGGTTATGTCAATGGTCTCCTGGCTTCGTGTCCTGTTCTACCCTTATTCTCTACTATCTAGTTTCCACAAAGCCATGAGGACCTAATCAAGATTATCTTTAAAAATGCAAATTAGATTATGTCATGTCTCAAAATCATCCAATATCTTTCTACTTAGCATAAAATCCAAGTCGTCGTGCTCGCTTCAGCAGCACATATACTAAAATTGGAACGATACAGAGAAGATTAGCATGGCCCCTGCGCAAAGGATGACACGCAAATTCGTGAAGCGTTCCATATTAAAAAAAAAAAAAATCCAAGTACTCACTATGTTCTCCAACCCTACATGATGTTATTCCAGATCATATTTCTAACCTCATTTTATACATGCTCTCTTTCTGTCTCACTCCCCTGCATCTACACGGATCTTTGTGTTATTCCTCAAACACATCCTCTTGCCTAAGACTCTGTATTTGCTGTTCATATGGCGCAGAATCATCTTTCCCCATATATTTCTCATGACTTTTGCCTCAAATATTTGGTCAAATGTAATCTAATCAGAGATAGCTTTCCTGATTCCATTTGCACATTCACCATCATCATTCTCTATTGCCTGGCCTTCTCTTTTTCCTCAAAGCATTCATTATATCTGACATATCTATTTATTTGTGTATTTGTGGTTTTCATCTCACCACTACTAGAATGAAAGTTCCATAAGAGCAGTGACTTTATTTTATTCACTGTTGTATCCTCACCACCTAGACAGAATATCACATAAAGTACAATAAATATTTTGCTAAATGAATGAAATTATTATATATAGATTTCCAACCAATATTAGGATTAAACCCAAATATGAGATATAATAATCATTTTAAACAATCAATATTTATTTATTTGCGTTATAGTCATTCTAAATACTTAATAATTACACATTCTATTCACTTTAGCTGAATTATAAAATAATTGTCATGCATTTCAATTTTGATTTATTTTTAAAGTATTTTATTTTAAAATTTTAAATAATTTAAAATTAGTGAAACAGTCATTTTATAGTAAATACTCTACTAACTTAAAATATTTATTTCAAATAATTTCTGTGCTGAATAAATTTGTTCAGCAAAATAGTATAATTTATTAATTAACCATCAAAATTATAAGCTGGTAAAATAGCACGTGGTAATTTTTAAAAACAAAAGATATAGAATGAGAGAAAAAATCCTACTTATATGGTGGGGAGGAATTTATAAATTGTTAAAATATTGAATTAAGAATTTAAGAAAAACTACCAATACCAAATTTATTACCAGATTAAAGTTTTTCTCTGACTTGTTTATAGTTCTTACATTTTATTTTTATATAAACTTGCATTGTTTATAAAGGAATAATTTAATTAAAATGTTTTAATTGAAACATGGATATACATTAAATAGTTTCTTTTAAACAAGGATCATAAACATAGGGGACAAAATGCATTAAACTGAATTGCTGCCTTACATCCAACCATTAATCTTGCCTTCAACAGTATGATTCATTGACAATTTTTTGTTTGTTTTTAAATATTTCCCTTCTGTTTTCTTGATTCTTGTATTAAATTTATGGGGTGACGTTGGTTAATAGAATCATATAGTTTTCAGGTGTAGATTTCTAAGATATAAGATCTGTGTGGCCACCACCAAAGTCAGATCTTCTTCTGTCACCATATATTAGGTCCCCTTTTATAAATAAAATTTTAAAAAATACAATCTACAACTCATGTTGTTAATCTCACAGGTAAATATTTACCTTCTTCCTTATACATAATATATTCTACTTAGACATTTATCAAAATTCTCCTCCAAGCAGCTATTTTCTATTTGTATAAACTCATTGGGGGAAAATGTTTATCCTCTTGCTGAAAGTGATTTTAGTGATTTGAGATATGTGTTTGGGACATTAGGCAGTAAAATATATCCTTTAGCTAGGTTCATAAACTGCTCTTGATACAGGGGTAATAGGAGAGACATAGTAGCAAAGCATCTAATGAGAGCATACAAAGTCAGAAAATTTTAGTGATTTTTCTGACAGCTGCATCTAAACCTGTGCAGACAGTATTCTTTTAGAGTTAGGAACCCAAAATCTATGGCTATCAAAGGACAGAAAGCCCTTCTTTGGTGAAGCACATTTGTGCTCAACTGGCTTTATCACTCCTTCGACTGTAGCATATTTCACATTACATTGCCTTAGTCCATAAACCCACACAGATACGGACAACTAATTCATAAGGCAACATCAACTACTAAATTGTGAGGTGCTAAGTTCAAGAGTAAGAAAGACCAGTTCTTAGGAACTTAGCACTTTGAAAGTGCTCACTTTAAGTTTATTGAATATATGAGTGCATGAGTGGGTAAATAATGGAATGAAATAATTTAGTGATGACTTCACATGGCATCGCCACATGGACTTCTCATCAGCTCCCACAGGCATAGAAAGTTTCCTCTTTGGGGTACCACTAAGGTGAAGCTGATCTTAGCTATCCTCTCCTGGAAGTAATGATTGGTTCTATTGCAGAAAAGAATTCTCCTCACTATAGACTTGCAGTAATTCCTTCTCAAAGAAAATCTCCACTATGATCCAGATGATTAAAATGTTGTTATTGATTATTAAATTGAAGGCTCATGCTTAGGGATTATCTAAAAATGCCAGTTTCTAGGCACTCTGATTGCTACCAGCTAATGTAAACTATACAAACTGATTATCTATCTGCTAATATTTAAAGCTGAAGTAACTTTGATTTTGTTCCTAAGTGTAGTTCTTTACATTTAAAAAAAAAAATTGTTGGCTATCCAGTATACCTGTCCTTGATCAGTGGTGTCTTTACATAAACTAGTTTGCCAGCTAATAATCTCTGAACTATTCACCCAGTGACAGACACTAAAAGGGGTAAGAAGCTAAAGACAGACAAGGTCAGGCAAATAACTGGAAACAACTTCAGTTATGAGAAATCTTAAATGCATTAAGGGAGGTTATCCTTCCTCAGACTGTTTCATGGATTTGCAGTACATAGAATATACTTCATAAAACATCAGATTAAAACCAAATCCACTTAGGTTTGGTAGCACTAAACCTAATAAAAATAAATTATTAATGATTTTATACAAACTGTGTCAAAGTGGACAGATTCTTTATGAAATCTCAACAACGTACCATATGCCATAGACCATTATTAATAACTTGGCCTCCAGTTGTGATTTGGGTTGTATGTTCATTCTTAAACTGAATTTCAAGCTTTCCGCCACGAAGTGCAATCAGGAGCCAAGCTGAGTGGTCAAGAGCTTCTGTAAACAGGATAACACCTTCGGAATCATATGTCCGGAAATCAAATGTGGCTGAAAATCTAAATAACGGACAAAGAGAGAGCCTTAATAGTGAGAACATGGAAGGCTCAATTATTATTCTTTTTTTTCTTGTACTGGCAAAAAGCAGTATGTTGAGTCAACTACTTCTGTCCCTGGAATTAATAAAAGAAAAAGGCAGAATTAGATTGTTGGTGTATTATCTCCGGCTCCATGTGTGTTTAAAATCAAGTTATTAAATTTTCTTGCTTATTATTGGAGTCTTTTTTTCCCCCAAAGAACAGATACTTTGGTAATGTTTCATCTTTTTTTTTGGCATTTGTTTTGGAGGCACTCTTTCAAATGTTGGAATTAAGGCACATGTACAAATATTAGACATATTGAATCTCTTCTGGAACCTTTTATACACTATATAATCCGATTAAGATTCTTTTATTGCTGTATCTGTAAGTGGTTAGTGAAAGATATTACAAGTTCATGACTGGTTTATCCATCAAGAAGCATATTCTCCCTATGATTTCATACATGTCAGGAAGGAATCACTCAGCATCTGAATGATTGCAAACACAGTTAAGCTTTCATGTGTGGTAGAAAAGGTAAAGTCAAAAGCTTTAAAATTTATCTATTAGCTTGATTTCAAAGGGTCTCCCAAACTCTAATAGCATAAATCACTATACTAGATTACATGGTAAAAAAGTTTAAAAGCTATAGTCTAATATTAGCAAATCAAATACAACAATACATTGAAAGGATCATATAGCATGATCAGGTAGAATTTATTCCAGGGATATAAGGATGATCCAACATCCACAAATCAATCAATGTGATACACCACATTAACAAAATGAAGAATAAAAATCATATATTGTCCCCATAGAAACAGAAAAAATATTTGCTAATATTCAACATCCATTTATGGTAAAAACTCTCAACAATGTGGGTATAGAGAAAAACATAGCTCAACATAATAAAGGCCATATGACATACCAACAGCTAACAACGATACTCAATTGGGAAAAGTGAAAGCAGAAACAAGACAAGGACGCCCACTCTTGCCACTTTTATTAGACTAGAGAAAGAAATAAAAGGCATCCAAGTCAAAAAGGAAGAAGTAAAACTCACTATTTGGAAATGGCACATATATAGAAAACCCCAAAGATTCCATCAAAAAAACTGTTAGAACTAATAAATGTTCAGCAAAGCTGCAGGAAATAAAATTAGTGTACAGAAACCTGTAGTGTTTCTATATGCTAATAACACACTATCAGAAAGAGAAATTAAGTGAACAATCCCATTTACAATGTTATCAAAAAGAATAAAATACGTGTACCTAGGAATTAATTTACCTAAGGAGGTGAAATACCTATACACTGAAAAGTGTAAGGCGCCAATAAAAGAAACTGAAAAAGACACAAATAAATGGAAAAACATTTTGTGCTGATTGACTGGAAGAATTATTATTGTTAAAATATCCATACTACTCAAAGCAATCTACTGATTCAGTGCAATCCCTATTAAAATCCCAATGGCTCCGCCCTCCAGCGACAGGGCCCTGTTTCCCAAGGCAGAAGGGTCTGGCCCTCCACAATCCTCCTTCTCCTGACACTCACTGTTCTCATCTCTCACTGGGGCTGGGTTTGTTTTCTTTCCTCTTTCTCCACCCACCTCTATCTCTAGGTGTCTCCCTGTGTCTGTCTTTGTCTAAACCCCCTCCAGCGTGCTCTCTCTCTCTCTCTCTCAATCTCTGTTCTCTCTCTCTCTCATTCTTCCCCTTTCTCCCCTCTCAGTCTCTCTCTCCCTTCTCTGTTTTTCTGTCCTTTGGTCATTCTCCCTCTCCCCCCCGGCTCCCTCCGCTTTCTCCACTGGAACTCTCTGTCTCTCCCATCCCTCAGAACCTCCACTTCTCCATCCCTGTAGGTCCTCTTTCTCTCCCTCTCTACCTTCCTGGTCCACAGCACACCCTCTCCCATTCCACAGTCTCTCTCCCCTTTTAGCCCCTTTTGAAGAGCACTGTCCAGTTCCATACCTAGGTACCCCCATGGCCATCTGGGCAGGGGGAACCACCTATTCAGTCCCCATGAGCTGTCTCCTCAAATCCCAGCCACAAAAAAATTCCAATGGCATTTTTCACTAAACTAGAATAAATAATTTTAAAATTTGTATGGAACCACAGAACTTTCCCAATAGCTAAAGCAAGCTAGAGAAAGAACAGAGCTGGAGGTGTCACACTTCCTGATTTCAAACTACACAGCAAAGCTATAGTAATCAGAATGGTATGATATTGGCATAAATATAGACAGATCAATGGAACAGAATTGAGAGTCCAGAAATAATCCCACACATTTATGGATAACTAATTCATGAAAAAGAAGTCAAAATCATACAATGGAGAAAGGACAGACTTTTCAATAAGCGATGCTGGGAAAATTGGATAGCCCCCTGCCAAGCAATGAAACTATACCACTATCTCACACCATACACAAAAATTAAATCAAAATGAATTAAAGGCCTAAAGCCATAAAATACACAGAAGAAATATAGCAGGTAAGCTTCTTGACATGTGTCTTAGCAATGTTTTTGTGAATCGACTCCAAAGGAAAGGAAAACAGAAGTTCAAATGGACAAATGGGACCAGATCAAACTAAAAAATTTCTACAAAGCAAAGGAAACCATCATCAAAATGAAAATGCTACCTATTGAACTGGAGAAGATATTTGCAAACTATACATCCAAGTGGATTAATATGTAGAATATGCAAAGAATTCACAAAACTCAACAACCACAAAAATCAACCAACTTTAAAAAATGGGCAGAAAATCTGACTATGTATTTCCCAAAGACATACTGATAGCCAACTGGCACATAAAAAGATGTTCAGCTTCGCCGGAACCGGTTTGGCTCAGTGGATGGAGCGTCGGCCTGCAGACTGAGGGGTCCCGGGTTCGGTTCCGGTCAAGGGCATGTACCTGGGTTGCGGGCGCATCCCCAGTGGGAGATGTGCGGGAGGCAGCTGATTGATGTTTCTCTCTCATCGATGTTTCTGACTCTCTATCTCTCTCCCTTCCTCTCTGTGAAAAATCAATAAAATATATTTAAAAAAAAAAAAAGATGTTCAGCTTCACTAATTATTAGAAAAATGCAAATCAAAACCACAATGAGATAGCACCTCATACCTGTTAGAATGGCTATTATCAAAAATACAAGAAACAACAATTGTTGGAGAAGAGGTGGAGAAAAGAGAACTCTCACAGACTGTTGGTATGAATGTAAATTAGCACACCACTATGGAAAACAGTATAAAGATTCCTCAAAAATTTAAGAAGAGAGTCACCATATGATCCAGCAATTCCACTGCTGTGTATTTATTCAAAGAATACAAAACACTAATTTGAAAAGATAAATGCACCCATATGTTCACCGAAGCATTATTTACAATAGCTAAGATATAAAAAACAAAACGACCTAAGTGTCTGATGGATGAATGGATAAAGAAAATGTGGTACACACACACAACGGACCACTACCCAGCCATAAAAAGAATTAAATCTTGCCATTTGAGACAAAACAAATGGAGTGAAGTAAGTTAGATGGAGAAAGATTAATACTGCAAAATTTCACTCATGTGTGGAATCTAAAACAAACAAATAAACAACAACAACAAAAATGAGCAAAAACAAACTCAAACATATAGGTAAGGACAGGTTGGTGGTACCAGAGGAGAATTGGGTGGGGAGTGAGTGAGAAGTCTGCAGGGGTCAATTTTGTGGTAAAAGACAATAACTAGATTTTTTGTGGTGATCACTTTGTAATATATACAAATATCAAATTACTAGAGGCCCGATGCACGAAATTTGTGCAAGAGTAGGCCTTCCTTCCCCTGGCTGCTGGTACCAGCTTCCCTCTAGCACTCAAGACCCAGGCTTTCCTCCAGCACTTAGGACCCAGGCTTCACTCGCAGCCTTGGCTTCGTCCAGAAGTTCATCTGGAAGGATGACCAGTCTAATTAGCATATTATACTTTTATTATTATAGATAATGTTGTACACCTGAGACATACTATGTCATATATCAATTTTACCTTCAAAGAAACAGATAAAGTCTAGCTATGTGTTCTGGGGTATCAGAGCTCTGGCAATGCCTGTTAAAGACTCTGGACATATATGTAGCTACCACAAGGGAGGAAAAATCTTAATGCTATATTTTTAAATAACACATATTGATTCAGTGCCCATAGGACATTTTCGAATGAGAATCACCAATAAAGTTTCCAAGGGACCAGCAAATCAAAATAACTGAAAAAAGACAAAAGAAATAGGAAAGTACTGGTATAATGATTAGTTAAAATAAAGATAATTTAACTTAAAAAGTTCGGATTTCAAATAATTGCTAACTAAAGTAAAGAATACACACCTTATCCCCACATATAGTAATAACAACCTAGACACCATTTGCAATGGGAAACAGATCTACCTCAAATGGAACAAAGAAAAGGTGATAGGAAATATTCTAAAGACGTAAATGTGAAGTAAAGTGTGTTGAATGGATAGCAATGTAGTGGAAATTCACTGAACCCAAATTATTTTATAAGAAAAAGAATTTTGCTTAGAATAAGTGCTTCCATTCTTTTTCACACTCATCACATCTTGCTGACGCAAAGCATGTGTTATCTTGCCAAAAACCTTAATCTGTGTATGCTCAGAATTTTCCATAACTTGATCCTATTATGGAGATAATTTCCATCTCTTTGTAAAATCATGCTAAACCAGTAATTCTGAGTCCTGTTCTGTATGTTTTCTTTCTGAAATACATCAATATGCTGATTCATCACATTGGGGAACAATTCACTCTTTGTCAGAAGTATTATAGAGTAAAAAAATAGTGAATCTGTACTTTTGGGTAGAGTATCTGATTACAGGAAACAACAGAGGGATTTGCAAAAAATAAATAAATAAAGCGTTAGCTTGTTCTTCGTGTTGATTACAGGTGAGGTTCATAAAAAATTCATCAAGCTGCACATTTCAGACATGTCCATTTCTGTATATATTATATCTCAATAAAAAGCTAAACTAAGTAACTAATAAAATAAATAATACCAGGAAAAATAATTATTTGGCCAATCTGATCCACTGTTAGAGCCCAAGCTATTATGAATTGTCTCTGAAAAAGCAATACCCCTGAACATGCCTGAAAGTATGCAAACATTATTTTTTTCTCTGTCATTCTCATTATTTGCATAGCAAGGAATACTGTCTCCAGTCTATCTTATCAGACAATACTATTTGCTCTGAGATATTAAAGGGGAAAATCAGGTCATAGTGGAAAATGAGTGTTGAAGGAGCACAATTACATCAGGGAATCTTAGAATAAATTTCAATGATTCTTAATGCAAAGATTTTTATGAATTTATAGTTAATGAATAATCACTTATATATAATGAATTAAATTCTAGGTCACCATGCTTATTTAATTAAAATATTTTAAAATTTGGACTCTATAGCCAGTCTAAACATGGTTTCTTTACATTATTCCAACAAACCTCCAATTTCATTTCTTCAAAGAGTGTATGACTCTAAGACCCAGCACCAGCACCAGCCTGCCTTGCTTCATAGCTGGGCCTCACCTGGGCACTTCCAAACCTGATACAAATAGGAGGAATCTGAAGATCTCTCTACTGACAATGCACCTTCCTGGAGACCCAAGAGACAATACACCCAGTGGACAGCTTCAGACCATACCAGATTACAACTCTGCACATCCACAAGCAACACACTCAAGGGGCCGACTCAATTTGCACCAAAGCCCCACAGAAGCAAGTCCTGCTCTATAGGGGTGTTTCCTACAGCAGCTCTTCTGCTGTAGTTGCAGCTGGTTCTCACAGCCAATTGGCCGGAAGGTCAATTTCTCCCAGTGATGCCAATAGCAATCAAGTTTCAACTACAACAAGACTCTGCACACAGCACACAAAGGGGTGCAACTAGAGGGCTTACCTCAGGTGACTGGGAAGGCTGAGCCACTGGGCCCTATAGGACACCTACTACACAAAGCCACTCTACCAACTCCAGGAGAAATAGCAGTTCTACACAACACATACAAACAAACAGAGGGAAATAGCCAAAATGCGGAGACAAAGAAACATGTCACAAATGGAAGAAAGCAAACTACTAGATACAGAGTTCAAAACCATGGTTATAAGATTACTCAAGGATTTTCATGAGACCTTCAAGGGACTTAGTGAGACTTGCAAGGATCTTACTGAGAAGCCAAAAACATGGTAAAGGACCATTCAGAAATTAAGCATATACTAACTGAAATAAAGAATAATTGACAGGGATTCAATAGTAGAGTAGAGGGTTCTGAGAATCAAATCAACGATTTGAAATATGAGAGAGCAAAAACACCCAATCAGAAGAGCAAAAAGAAAAAAGAATCCAAAAATATGAAGAGAGTGTAAGGAGCCTCTGGGACAACTGCAAGTGTACCAAGATTCAAATTATGGGGGGCCAGAATGAGAAGAGAGCAAGATATTGAAAACCTATTTGAAAAAATAATGACAAAACTTCCCCTACCTGCATGTAATATCTTAATCAATAAAAAATATAATTTAAAAAAACAAAAACCAAACAAAATAAAATAAAATATCAAGGCCTAAAGACAAAGAGAGAGGCTTAAAAGTAGCAAGAAAAAAAGCAGTTAGTTACCTGCAAGGGAGTGCCCATAGAAGTGTCAGCTGATTTCTCAACAGAAACTTTGCAGGCCAGATGGGAGTGGCAAGAAATATTCAAAGTGATGAATAGCAGGGACCTAGAAGCAAAATCACTCTACCCAGCAAAGCTATCACTTAGAATTGAAGTTGAGATAAAGAGCCTCACAGACAAGAAAAAGCTAAAGGAGTTCATCACCACCAAAACAGTAATACATGAAATGTTGAAGGGTATTCTTTAAGAAGAAGAAGAGAAAAAATCCACACAAACACCAGGAGGGTGAGGGCATGAGTGCGGGGGTTGGGGGGCAATGGGGGAGTAAGGACACATATGTAATACCTTAATCAATAAAGAAAAAAAATTCTATATAATAAAAGCATAATATGCTAATTAGACCAGATGTCCTTCCGGACGACCTTCCAGACAAAGCTGGGCTGCAAGGGAAGCCCAGGTCCTGGGTGTCTGCTGGCGGCTAGAGAGAAGCCTGGGTTCTGGGTGTCTGCTGGCGGCCAGAGAGAAGCTTGGGTCCCAGGTGCCAGAGGGAAGCCCAGGTCCCGGGTGCCAGAGGGAAGCCGGTGCTTGCAGCTGGGGGAAGGAAGGCCTACTCTTGCACGAATTTCATGCATCAGGCCTCTAGTGTAACAATAAAATGACAATAAAAACATATATATCGGCAATTGAATCTAAAAATCAAAATAAACGAACAAGGAATCTAATGGACAAAATAAACTGGTGAATAAAATAAAATCAGAGTCATGGGAATGGAACAGACTGAAGATTCTCAGAGGGAAAGGGTTGGGGGATCGGGAAGATATTAAGCAAAGATCTTATTGGCATATATGCATTACCTATAGTCACTGACAATAGGGTGGCAAAGGCCTGGGGTGGGGCAGGAACTGGGTGGAAGGGGACAATGCGGGGGGGAAAGAGGGACATCGGTAATACTCTCAACAATAAAGATTTTTTAAAATTATTCTGTAGAAATATTTATATTGGGAAGAATGCTTATAGTGAACTGGTATTTGGGGAAAAAGCAGATTATAATACTACATGTACAGGATGACTTCAATGTTTGTCAAAGAATAAATACATATGTATAGGTATAAATAAATAAATAAATAAATAAGGAAGACTGAAGGATCACTAGGAAGGCCAGTCTAGAATGATCCAAATTGGTTCTAGCATGAAAATTATATGTGTGAAGGAGCAAATTAACTTTATGGTTCCCCAAGTGATCTGAATGATAATATACCTAAATCATCTGATTTATAATGCAATTTCATACATTTCAAACTTTTGTAGTCCCCTCCTTCTTCTGTTCTAACCTGACTACTGCTAGAAATTATCATTGACAGTGGTGCCTTACCTGATAAAATCCGGTAAGCGAAATTTTAGATATAAAACAACCCCTACGAACTGCTCTGCCAAGTAAAGGAGTTCATAATTTTTCTCAAGGTTCAAGGAAAGGCACACTGGAACAGCCTGGAGAAAAGAAAAGAAAACAAACAAAACCTATAGTTAACTGCTTGTTTTTTGTCAGATTATGCATCCTTTCTCTGATTCCTAGTGTTCTTGTCAAATGTATCCTCCATGATACACTAAAATGAATTAAAGACACCCTGGCAATAATAAAGCAATAACCTTTACTTCCTCGTCTAGTCTAGCAGTGGAACCCCCAAAAATACGTGTTTTTTAAAATTTTGTTCAATGTGCATGGCTTTGTATTTTTGTCTTTAATATTTCCTTTATAAATCGCAGCCCCAAAACACGAACTTTTTCCTCTAGTAATAAGCGATCTCTTATTTAACTGATATAGGTATCAGACCTTCCATGAATTATGTCTGAAAATAATTTTTATTTGGAGTCAGAAGTAGGTGGGAAAATTAATGTACCAATAAATAGGTCCGCATTTATTCACTCATTCATTATTAAGCAAAAAATTTCTCTGCAAAAACTGTGTTATCTAGGTAGCAAAGGGAATACTGAAAAACCTGGATAGAATAAATAGAAATGAGATATCATCATAGTCTCCAAGGAAGCTACAAAAACAGTGATTTAGAATCATTAAATCTGAAATTAAGTACTTTTTTTCCTAAAAATAAAAATAAACATTAAAATGGAAAGTCTTATAAATGGCTATTTTGGAAGGAATTATGTACATAGCACTGTATTAAATCTAGGTCCAGAAATAACATTTAATTTCCTCTTAGAACTTTAATAAATCTATTCTGAGGCAGATGGTGATGTTTAACTACAACAAATACTTAAATCATAAGAGACTAAGTTACAAAATAGACATTCACACAGCATGGCATTTCAATTAAGTACTGTACTATTAAAGTCAGTACATAGGCATCTTACCTTATCTTCCTTTATCAAGTAGGTAGAATAATATTGAATGTTATATTTTGGGGGTACTTAAGCTTTGTCTTGATGATTAAATCATTATTAAAGATTTTTGTCTCTTTACTGTTTGCCTCAGAATCATATAAATTTCACTTTTACTTGAAAAAAGTAAAGGAGATACAATAATTGGACTAAGGATCATTAACACATGATCCTTATTTTTAAAAAAATAGCTTCAGAGATTGATCTATTCATTTCAATAAAGGAAAAACTAGAATCTACCCCCAACATTCAATTTCTGAGTCAATTATGTGTTAAATCTGAGTAACTAAAAGCAAATTTAAGAGATACAGATTAACAAAGTCAAACTCTCTGAATTTTGATATATGTAAGCCCCACTAAATCTTCTAGTCTGACAATGTTTCTACCCAAGATTTTATGACAACTCTTGAAAGTACTAACATGCCTAAGGCTTGATCAAAGTTGTCAGAATGGTGAATAAAGAAAAGTGGACACTGAGAAATGTTTTCATTAAAGTTTCTATGGAAGATTCTGTTTCTCACAAAGACCAGTATAAACCTCAGCTTTCCTTAAGTTTCTTAAATAAGCATATATTTTGTATTTTGTAAATGTACATGCTGTACTCTCTGAACTGTGACCCTGCAGCTTTTATTTTTACCCAGCCACTAATTATTCCCAATTGTTTACAACTTTACACATCCATAATTAGTAAATAGATTGTGACTCAGAGCCTGGATGGAACTACAGAAATTATTGTAGAACATCTGTATTTTCCTGACTTATCTCAGCTCTGTGGAAATCAGTAACTGGATCTCTTATTTTAGAAAAGAGATGTTAAGTTTAGCATTGCAAAATGTTACCTCACAACTCTTCTGATCTTGGGCAAGTTTGAATCCTTTCTTCCCATCACAGTAACAAGAATAACCTCCAGGGGAATTCTGTGAAGAAAAAGAGGGGAGGAGAAGGAAGGGGAGAAGAAGGAAGGGGAGGATGGGAAGATAGGGATGAAAAGATCCCTTTTAATTGAAGGTCAATGTAATTGAGAACTAAATGATAATATCAAAACCATTTGACTCTACATGATGCAATGATTAATAGAGGCATTAAATTAAAGGGCATACCTGTATTCTTATTTTTATTAAAAACTCACTGTGCTATATTACCTCCCATATTGTGAAATCTTGTATAATGATCCCTGTCCCCACTTCATATTTTGAGAAAGTCATTCTTGAAAAGTTGTAACAATATTCTTTAGCTAAAGCCCACTACTAAGATCCTGACCTTTTCGATGAATGAACCAATGATGTCTCTGAAAATTTCCAAATTCATAAATGCTATTATAGCACACAACGGTTAAAAACTAAACCCCAATATTAGTGATCCCTCAATGCATGCTATTATAGCACACAACGGTTTAAAACAAAACCCCAATATTAGTGATCCCTCAATGCCATTAAAATGTATGATTAAAG